CTGTGAAAAAACTTCTAGCTTAAATAGCAGCTCATGAGAAGTTTGCAAGAAACTAAAAAATAAAAAAAACTACACTTTACGAGAAGTCTGAAGACATTTACTAGACACTTTGCTTACAGTTTTCAAGAAACTTAGACATTAACTTAGTTTGCAACAAATGTTCAAAATACTAAGCAGTCAACGTACAGTTTGCGAGATGTTTGCAGGGAACTTAGACAATCACTAACAGTTTGTTAGAAGTTTGCAAGAAACTTAGACATTAACTTACAATTTTCGAGCAGTTTGCAAGAAACTTAGACATTAACTTTCAGTTTTCGAGCATTTTGTAAGAAACTTATAAAATAGAAATTTACCTGTTTTTAAAAAATTACCAAGACTAAGGTATTTGGAAACTTCTTCATTTCCATTCTAAAAAACACCCTTACTCACACTAACGGAATTGCACTAAAACAAACTATAGTTCTTGTTTTATATCTGTTTGAGTTCATGTATTACTTATATACCGAAACAGGAGATGGCTGGCCAAGACTCACCACCCATTTCTTTAGCTGAAATAGATGCGATACCCAACTTGCGGGAAGGCTTGAGGAGATTAAACGATTTAGGGATAGACTACGCTGGTGTGAAAAACAAGGACGACGTGGTTATCAGATTGAGGAAATACCTAAAAGGACATGGCCAAGGAGTGGCCGAAGACCCAATTAATGTAAGTTAAAAATACACCAGGTTATACTCTCGGTATAACTGCTCAGTTCGATTCTTTATGTATTAAGCCTATACCTTTATATTTTTCATGTAGTTCAGCACTTTATGAGGAGAAATACAGAATATGACTTTTGGTCAGTGGTAGTTTATTTCTGAAATATGATGAAAAATTTACTTTCATTCAAAAATTGTCTTATGCCTCTATTACACACATCCCACGATTCCCACGAATCGCCATGAATTGACAAATTTCAGGATTCGAGGTTGAATCGTAATCAATTCGTGAAGTTCTTAACAGATTCGTATGTATTCGTAGTCAGTTCTTGCAATTCTTGACCAACAGGAATTCGTAGCAAAAACGTTGATGCCCCTTTTTCACACAGACCACGAATTCCAAGAATCCTACGAATCGCCAGAAATTGACAAAATTCAGGATTCGTGGTTGAACGTAATCAGTTCGTGAAGTTCTGAACAGATCCGTATAAAATCGTAATCAGTTCTTACAATTCTTGATCAATCGTAAATTCGTGGCAAAAAATTTGAGCTGTTCAAAATTTTGGCCACAAACTCCTGATTCCAAAAATCGTAGTGAATGTCTGGACAATATTCGTTCGATTCAAGCCGAGTCCCACGAATATTCGTAACACTATCGCACCTGTATCGTAACTGAATCGTAGAGCCTGTCGAATTAGACCAGAAAATTGGCAAAATCTCACGAATCCTCACGAATCCTGAAATTTGTCAATACCTGGCGATTCGTGGAATTCGTGGTCTGTGTGAAATAGGGGCATAAAGCAGGATTGATAGGCCTAGGCCTATATTAGGCCCCCGTTTCCCTGACTAAGAGCTTGGTTACCAACGTAATAAAGTTCTTACGTCACCAAGTCCCGTTTCTCAAAGAATCTAAAAGGTCGTTTACGTCGTTTTATTTCTTGGCTGCTAATCGACGATGTCCAGCCTCCTCGGGAGGAGATTTACGTCAGCAAGCTCAACTAAAACTCGATAAATGAGAGCATTAACAACAAAAAATTGGAAAGAACATACCTCCTTCAAGATATAATGCTATAATATCCTTGCACTGACATATATTGAATATTTAAATTAAAGAATAAATGCAAATCCACCCAGCCGATCGCGGGGTTGTTTATGTTTTTGACCGCTAGACGTCCAACAGCAGTGTTCCAAGACAATTTATTGTTTTACTGTCACTCTGAAGTTGTCAATAAAGTTCAAAAACTTTCTTTATGTTTTCAGTAATATTTATTGTTTATAGAGGATCGTTCTCGGCCGAAAGAGGCCATGAAACGTACGTCATGTCTTGTGAAACTTTAGATATTTTCACACCTCCTTTTCTTGAATAATTTCTCGTGCGCGTCGACTACGGCAAGCACACCAAGCTACATGTAAGGCGTTAGATTCTTTGTGAAACACTCCTTGTCGACTGCAGCTATTCGACCTAGCTAGGTCACTCAGCTGGAGCCAGTCAACTACGGATTTAAATTTTTTTGTGAAACGGGGGCCAGAATTTATCCTTATCCAATAAGAAAATGCAAGCAGAAACATTTTGTCAGCAATGCCGTCACATTATTATTACATCGGGGTGATAATGAAATAGAATATCTCAATACACAGTGGCGGTNTAGAGGATCGTTCTCGGCCGAAAGAGGCCATGAAACGTACGTCATGTCTTGTGAAACTTTAGATATTTTCACACCTCCTTTTCTTGAATAATTTCTCGTGCGCGTCGACTACGGCAAGCACACCAAGCTACATGTAAGGCGTTAGATTCTTTGTGAAACACTCCTTGTCGACTGCAGCTATTCGACCTAGCTAGGTCACTCAGCTGGAGCCAGTCAACTACGGATTTAAATTTTTTTGTGAAACGGGGGCCAGAATTTATCCTTATCCAATAAGAAAATGCAAGCAGAAACATTTTGTCAGCAATGCCGTCACATTATTATTACATCGGGGTGATAATGAAATAGAATATCTCAATACACAGTGGCGGTTTTACAGGGGAGGGGGATCCTGAACCCCCTCTTGTAATTAGAATTTTTGTCTAACTGAATCATAGTTCTAAACCGTACCAAATGGCACCGTTCGCCCTCTAAAATGCCAAAAATTGTCGGGGCTCTTTAGCGGGCCTCGAACCCGGCGCCAATTGTGTGTGTGTGTGGGGGGGGGGTAAGGCTTTGCATCTGCGGACCCCCCACCCCCCTTTTAAATAATCCTGGGTACGTCCCTGCAATAAAGAAATCATATCCCCTTGTATAAAACAACAAAAAGGTAGCGTATGCTCTAAAAGTGCATAATTTGTGCACCGATAATGATAACTATAATGTCAAGTATTTCACCTGGAAGTAGCGGGGGAAAACAATTTTGACAAATGTAGAAAATAATAAGAGTCGATCCCGAACCCTTCAGACTTTGAAAGTGACAGTGATGTTTTTCAGGCCGCTGAAATTATGGCAGATGCTTTGGAGAAAGATAAAGAGACAAGGCAACAGCTACAGCAATTGTTCAAAGACACGACTGAGTATATTTCTGGTTTACCAGAAAGAAGACGTGATGACCTAAATCAAAACATTCCGCGAGTGGTAGAAAGATTACGTGAAAGCATTGGAGAACTCTCTAAAAGCGAAAGTGGAATTTTAGTAGCAGGTAAATCAGAGTATGTTTTACAGGTTTATTTTACCTCTATTTAAAAAACATTTCTGTTTCTTCTCATAGTGGTTGATTAGAAGCACCGCCTTTTTCCCACTGACAAAAATGAACATGCTAGCAGTACATACATGTAAATGTTAGTTAGTTTTTAGTAACCTCCAGTTGAATTAAGCCTGTACATTATCAAAAAAGCTCTTTAATATTCAAAATTCTTTATCAACATACAAAAGTTGGATCCAGGCTATGCTTAAAGCTGTAGCTAAGAATCGACAAAAATATATTGCAGCAGTCCAGTCCCTTTCATATAAAAATGAAATATGAAATCACTAAACCATTATAAGCATTTCTTTTAGTTGACTGCACGTGAATTGCTTAGCAAATATGCTAAAACCTGGCAGCTCATTTATCTTCATACAAAAATTACATAATCGCATATACACCATTACAAGGAAATCATAGTTTTTGTACATGTCTTGAGTGATCTTCTGGATAGGTTAGGTTTTTTATATGTCTATTATCTCATTGCCCCCCCCCAGATTTTTACAATGCAAGGACGCAACTAGTATCTAGCCTAGTCCTATAAGTATCTAGAATAGACTGGGGTCTCATATATATTTATCAGTGTTAAAAATAATTTCTTTTCGAAGAGTTATGATCGAGTTTCATCGATTATTTTCATGTAAATGCTAAAAGTGTGGATTCAATATAATTTACAAGTATTGGGGACTGAAAATTTTACCATTCGGGGAGCACTGTTAAGTATAAAATGGAAGTTAACAGTGAACAGAGGGGCAAGTGTTGGGGGGCATGACTTTATTACAGGGTCAAGGTTTTACGAATGAAAACTACCATTATGTCTTTATTTTGATAGCACTATTTGATGACCAAATGTCACAGAAACAAGGTACTGCATATCTTTTGCAACTATTTTAAGGTCACCAAAGGTATTGGCCTTATAGCAGGGTCGTCATAAAAGGACGAGTGCCAATAACCATTGGCAAATCGCCCAACGTCAAAATTTTAAAATGATTTGCTATTATAAAGTTTATGCATACATTTGTTGTGTGAAAAAATATTATTTGGTTTGAGGCATCGTAACTTAGTATTTTAAATGAGTTATGTGTGTGTGTGTGTGTGTGTGTGTGTGTGTGTGTTTGTGGGGGTGGGGGGGTAGCCAAATGTACCTGTTGTATGCAGTCTAATGCATCAGAGCAACTTGTTTCAGCATATATATTACATAAATATTTTTTCTAATGAAACTTGTCTTGTGGTGTAAAAAAGATCAGTATGTTAAATAATTGTGGCGTGGCACAAGTGAATGGGAAAGTAATTGTTTTTAATCCTAGAGAAGAGAGGGAGGGGTGGTGTATTACGGTATTTTCGCAAAGCAGCCACCACTTACTTCACTTTACTGTATAAAAGTCTTGTAACTAGAAACACTTGTTTCAGCGTAATTATTAATTTGATATAACGTTTCTCACAGACCAGCATTTGTTGGTAGTGGACACTCTGTCTCGCTATTACTGTCACCACTTGATGTTGATAAATGTGAGGCATTCAAACAGCCGTCTCCAAACATAATTTTCGATTGTATCCCTGCCTCATGGCAGACACCATAAAGGGCCTGCCAGAGAACTGAAGTGATATGGGCACAACTTCCAACTGTCTTAGAACCTGCTTTACACTGACAATACCAGTCACTGATGGGTCTAGATTTGCTATAGGACGTCTGAATCCGTAATGTGTACTGGTGGCTAGATGTGTGTCTTGATGTGTGACTATTTTGGCTCTGATTAAATCAGGCGCATGCTTGCATACATTGATTTCAAACTGGCCATCTAGCAGATTCCCGTTAGTATATATGCTAGCTTGATTTATCTGGTAAACTTCTAATTATTATAGTTTGGTGGTCTCTTGTTTGAATTATTTACCAAGTCAATAAGTTTTCACTGATCTCCTTGACAACAAAATCCATACCATTTTGGTGAAAAAAATAGAAAAAGGAAAACTACACAGCCATCATCTATAGTGATGGCGTGGAAGATTAGGCCATAAGTAACAAAACTAGGGTGTGTGTGACGGGGAACTTTTATTTCACTTTTTATGCAAAATAGACTTAAAGGGGGATATTTACACAACAATTTTGGTTGTACGAATTGTACAAAACAAAATGTAACCATTAGAGGGGGTTGGATCAGGCCACCCTTATGTGTAGAGTTTTTCTATTTTATTTCTATTTTTATTTCTAAGGATTAAGAAAGATTAAATGTAAAATGTCCTTCAGATATTCAAAGTTATATTAATTATCATAATAGCAGATACACATTGTGATGGCTCCTACTTTATATTGAGACCCATGCTGTAATAGACCTCTACACATAAGGGTGGCCTGATCCAACCCCCTCTAATGGTTACATTTTGTTTTGTACAATTCGTTAAAGGTTAAAACATTGCTTACAAGTATACTTCAATCATTTGAAAATGAATCAAAGTGTTATATGTTTAAATATCCCAGAAATCGATGTATTTAATTTTATCCTTTTTCAGACTTTTATATCGGCTCTTTTGTGACACCATTTCTACACTTGTGATATTTTGTTCATATATATAAGGTGAGACAGGTGCTGGCAAGAGTTGTCTGTTGAATTTACTCCTTGGGGGAGAACTTCTCCCAACGAGTTTCTTCAGTTGTACCGCTGTGCTGTGTGAATTAAGGTACGGCGACCAAAGGAAGGCTGTTGTACATTACTGGGACACCAAATTACAACCTGTTACCTTGGACCTGGAAGTGCCAGATCCTCTTAAGGTTTGAAGCCTTACATATACCAGGAAGAAGGACGAGGGAAGGAGTCATTTTCATATAACAGAGTCCAGTTATTTTGGCCTAACCTTGTGCTAAAGGTAACAAAATCCGCACATGCAAAGGAGCAACTTGTTGGTTAACTTTCAGAGAGTACCATTTTACCATTTTCGGGTTATCTAAGTCAGATAAGTTCTGTTTTTATATCAGTTCTTGTTCGGTCAAATGGAGTGAGGTTAAATTGAACCATTTCAGTCGACCGATTGATAGAAGTCAGATTGTGCCATATCTTTCTTTAAAACGTGCTTTACTGAGGTTTATGCTAACGAAGTTAATGATTTGACAGTGGCTAACGAAGATTTGATAATAATAATAATAATAATAATAATAATAATAATAAGACAAAATGAAATTTATTTAAAGGGTGGTGTTTTCTTCGTGGACAGCCCGGGTATAGGAGAGTGTGAAAAGATGACAAAACTCACAAAGAGTTACATGTCCAAGGCACATTCCTTCATTTACGTCATCAACAGCATGGTGGCCGGAGGGGTGCAAGAAGATAGGGTAATACACATTGCAAATTTAACTTCTTCGCTGAAGCATTTACGTTGATAAATAATTACGCTTGTGTGCCTGGGTCGTCAATTTAAATAGGTTTGATTGCACAGTTCCAGATCACTCGTGAAAATCAACCAGCTTATGTTTTTTTCTCTGCAAATATTTAACTAAAGATACGTTCTTCTCTTACTCTTACTGTAACTTGAATTTGGCCTTTGACCCCCCTTATGAACTGCACTTTGAAAAGTATCCGACCTTTATATCTCCTAAACTGTCAGAGGTATGTCCATAGTTGCTATTGAACTTGAATAGGGAGTCATGCATTGCGCATGTTACTATGATTTTAAATTTGACCTACTTTTCACCATGAACTGCACAAATTTAGAGATATGCCAATTATTACTACTGAACCTGAATATATTGGTAATTTCCACAAATTTTTTTGGATTTTCTACAAAAAAGTGAGAGCACTTGTCTATTGCATTTGTACAGCTTGCTATTTTCTGTTTTTGGGTCTTTTTAGCATTATGTATCCACTTATATAAATCACAAGAAAACAGTGTGGTAATTTGCTTTAAAACTTGCAGGACTGATTTGTAAGACTAATATACAGATAAAGTTTGAAAATTGTCCTTATCGGGGCTAGTTTTGCTGGAGTTATGCGGGGTTTTATTTTCTTACGTTCAGTTATAAGTCATTACATACGTAAGTGATTACATACGTAAAAGCGTTCTTTTGAAATTTTCTGCATCTTAACTAGTTTGTAAGTTGATATATATATATATATATATATATATATATATATATATATATATATATATATATATATATATATATATATATATAAAATGATGGCAAATCTGTGGTAGCGTAATGTGTAATAAAGAGTCATAAATAGACATAAGCCCATATCAGTGCCGTTTGTTAGATTTAATCATTGCCTATGTTTAGAATCTCGTAATCGAGCAATCGAGCAAACAACAATTTTCGTGATTGCGTGATAATTTATATCATTATCATATCTGTATAAATGTTTTTTCAGGCTCAGATGGCACTGAAACAGGGTTGTACAACACCCGATTACTCCACGTTTCTTGTTGGGCTGAGGAAACTTTTCCCCAAAACCCTTACATCATATGAGGAGAGTAAATACAGGTAACAACGCCTTCATTTTGGCCACATCTATTATAATTACTAGCCTGGGCATGTTCTGTAAATGAACCACAGGAAGACAGATGGACACTTGCTTAAAAAAACGTATAAAAGCACAAAATCAACCAAGGAAAATAAACATTTTTTGTTTGTTTATTTTTCTTTCCCAATCGTAGCTCAGTGGTCTACATTCTGCGAAGGTCTGCCTTTCATCTAAAGTCAGCTTTGAGCCACTTTGAAAGATCAGAAGAAGAGCGTAAGCAAAAGGCTCGTGTCCTTGAGCGACAGATTGAAAAAATTAATTTAAACTTTGAAGAGAAAAGATTTAAATTGAAGGGACTTTTTAAATACAAGAGCTGAACAAGCTGCACGGCAAATCAAGGATTTTCTGAAAAGGAATAAAAAGCGTGTCATTGAATGGAATGAAGAAGATTGTCCACAGCCTACTGAATGGAATGACCTCCACTTAGAAGCTAGAACCCTCGTCCATGGACGAATTCGCGAACTTCTGAAGGAATGGAACACCAACACAGAGTTTTTCACATATGCACAAAAGGAGCTTATTGAAAAGTTCCGCTCGGAGTTCAACATCCTAGAGAACCAAATCGCTCTTATGGAAGGTCAGTTAACCAGCAACGATATGGTTGTTGTTGAGGATGCAAATCCCACAGACTTAAGTGACGAGGAGGACATTGCTTTAACCACCGCTCAAAAAGTCATCATCGGCGTAACTTCTCCATTATGGATTGTTATCAGCCTCCCGATTGCCATTGGGATGGCAGTTAAAGAGCTTATCAATGAGAAGAAACAAATCAAAGAGTACGCAAAGCAAAGATCGGCAGTTATGAAAACTATTGCAGAAAAAGTTCTCGAAGATTTTTCATCTGACGAATACCTTGTAGGAGTGGTGATGCGGTACTTGAACTCTGCAGTTGCAACGCTGAATGACCTACTCAATGCTATCCCAAAACTCCTAGATGATGACCGTCAGCTCGTAAAAAGGTTGCAAATTGAAAGTCAGACAGCGGATTCAGAGATGCAGTTGCATCAGAAAAAGCTCCATCAGAATGAAAACTTAGAGGGACGCCTAGGGTTGCTGTACGTAACAAACATCCGGGAAGACATCAACGCAGAAACAGAAATTAATTGGAGCTCGCCTGCTATTGCTGCTGGCACGTTTGGCGATGTTTATGCCGTGACCCTTCCGTCAAGAAAGAAAATGAAAGCAGCAGCAAAGGTGATGAAACAGTGTGCAACAGCAGAGAACGTATGTAAAGCTTTACTGGAGGAGGAAATTTTGAGGTGAGATGTACAGATTAGAATCAATTCTAAGCTTTTTCTACCTTAATTTCTAATTCTAGCAGTTGAAAAATGTTTAAATGCGGCAGTGAAGGAAAGATAGGGACAGTAATACCTCTGTACAAAGTATGTGGGGAAAAGGAAAAAAATTGCTACATTTGATACGTATATTGACATAATCAGTGTGACTATTTTTGTTTATACAGAGGCTTTCACACAGCCCCAAACATCATCAAGTTCATAGGAACCAGCGCCATCATAGAGCCAGGTGGTAACAGGCGCCTTGTCATTCTAATGGAGTATTGCCCCAAAACCCTTGCAAATCGTATGTTGAATGCAGATGCGACAAGTCCCAAAGGAGGGCGAGAGACCATAAACCCTGGTTTGAAGCAACCGTTAGATCCTGGCCTCATGCGTTCCGTTGCTGACTTTGGTAGGCAAATATGCTCTGGATTAAGTTGCATGCATGCTAAAGGATACATTCACCGAGACTTGAAACTGGAAAACATATTGGTAAGATACGCACTATTTGTTATAAGGAATAGAAAGTAACACGCTCTTACTTTTAGTAGCTCCAACTGGTATCAGGACAATCCCCCCCCCCCCGGACAATTCCCCCCCCCCCGGACTATTCCCCCAGGACAATTCCCCCCCGGACGATTCCCCCCAAGAATATATATTTATACAAATATAAAGTAAAGAGTACAAAGTTCAAATCTTTTCATCCAATTTCTGAATAGTTCTTAGTGTGATAATGCAAATCAAGGATATATAATATTAATTTTGTAAACAAATTTTTTTTCATGGAGTACAAGTACATAAAATTTTCGAGATAGAAGTACAGAACATTTTATTAAAATC